CCCGGCTCAAACGCCTATCCCTCGAAAAGACATGGTATTAAATACCATGTCTGGGAGCGAGATCTACAGCGCCATAGATCTGACAGACGGTTTCTATCAGATACTCATGAGGGACAGTGACATTCCGTTCACTGCGGTCAGCACCCCAAGCGGGATGCTTTGGGAGTGGCTAGTCTTGCCACAAGGCCTTAAGAATGTTCCAGCTACGTTCAATCGGATGGTGACACAAGTACTTCGCCCACTTCGCGACTTTGCACCGAGCTACTTTGACGATATTTTTGTTCACACTACGGAGGTACACCTTCGACACTGGAAGCAGGTGTTTCAAGTTATGCGCGAGAATAAATTGTATGCGAATTTGAAGAAATGTGTCTTCTGCGCTCCTGAGATTCCAGTACTCGGTTGCTACGTCAGCAAGGAAGGTGTCCGCGCTGATCCTGAGAAGATCTCATCGATCTGTTCCTGGTCAACGCCCAGGAATCAAACTGAATTACGCCAATGGCTCGGTCTGGAGAATTATTTGCATAAGTATACGAAGAACTATGCTGAGCTAATTCAGCCATTATCGACTTTGCTCAAGAAAGATGCAGTATGGTTATGGACGGCAGAACATCAATCTGCCTTCGACTCCGTAAAGAAGAGCTTGTCCGAGGCACCGGTGCTGATGTTACCTGATGACTCTAAGCCATTTCACGTCGTATGTGACGCGAGCAATTTCGCTATAGGATGTGCCCTCATGCAATTTGATGACGAGGGTCGAGAGAGCGTCGTGAGTTTTCAATCACGACAGATGAAACCTGCCGAGAAAAATTATCCGGTACACGACAAGGAACCTTTTGGCTATACGCTACGCGCTAATCAAGTTTAGAGTATGTTTGCTCGGCGAAAGATGTTTTCTATCTACACCGATCACGCATCATTGCGTACCGCCGTCAAGAGTCCTCACTTGTCCCAGCGTATGGCACGGTGGTTGTCATTTTTTGCCGAGTATAATTTTGTGGTGCATTACAAGCCTGGCAAGAATAACATTCTCGCTGACGCGCTTTCTCGTCGTCCTGATTACGATCCTCGGCGTGATATGGGTCATCAAACGGAGTATGTTGATGACGACGAATATATCTGTGTGTGTTGTATTGAACTGGGGCTTAATGCGGTGATTTCGACCCCTGTGCATTCGATCCGAACTCAGATCGCTGAATCCTACGCGAATGATTCCTTCTATGCAGGAATCATCAACTATCTCAGGGACCCGAGCGAAAAACTACTCGCGAAGTTGACGAAACCAACACGCGACAACATCAAGCGTTACGCACTTGACGGTCCGCTGCTGACGTACACGATAGACGTCTTTGATTTCCCGCGTGTTGTCATCCCTGCTGATGACGACCTTCGAGCCCTATTGGTTCATGAATTTCACGACAGCCCAGCTGGCGGACACCTGGGTCGCGAAAAGACGTTTGCGGCTATTTCTCGCGTATTTTTCTGGCCGCGAATGTATAAATACATTCAGAAATGGGTGCGCTCCTGTGAAACCTGTCAGCGTGTGAAGCCTGCGCCGTCTTCACAAGCCCCATTGCGTCCGCTTCCGATTGCTACGGAAGCCTGGCGCTCGGTCAGCATGGATTTTATCTTTGGCCTTCCACCGGATGAACAGAACGCACGGGCGTATTGGTTCTAGTGGATCGATTCAGCAAAATGTTGCATTTTGCTCCGGTCTCCGCCAACATTACGGCGGAGACGAAAGCGAAGATCTTCATTGATCTTATCTTTAGGCATCACAGCTTGCCAGAATCTATTGTTTCGGACCGTGACCCGCGTTTCACTTCGGCTTTCTGGGCCGAATTCTTCCAGCTATTAGGCACGCGGTTGCTTATGTCTACGGCGGCCCATCCAGAGACGGATGGGCAAACGGAGCGTGTGAACAGAGTGCTCGAAGATGTCTTGTGCAGTTATGCAACATCGTTCTCATCATGGAGTTCATTTCTTCCACTTGCAGAGTTTGAATCAACAATGCTGTCCACGCGTCAACCGGGTTGACGCCCTTTTTCGTTAATAACGCGAGGCATCCTCGCGTTCCGGCGCTACTTGCTCTCTCAGCTTCAGAACACCCTGTCTTCAAGCTTGGTGGGGGAGTATCTACGGATGCAATTGCGCCGAAACTATTGCTGAGTGATTACGATGCGCATAAGGTTGCTGCCGATGCACCTACTACTGGTAATTTTGTGGCCAACGGCATATCGACTCCTGACGCGATGCTTTTCATCGCGTCTTCCGTTGCCAATTTTGCTCCAAAAGAACATACGTCGCCTGTAAGTTCGGCTGCAGTAACCGAATTTCTACTATTACGACAAGGAATCACGCGTTTTGTGCGTGATGCATTACAAGAGGCAGTCGACAAGCAAAAGGAGAATGCAGACAGAAGAGGTCGAAAGAATATGTTGACATTTCAAGAAGGTGACAGAGTATTGTTATCAACAAGTGGATTACCAAACACCTCAGTGACGAATTTGGGCGCTAATAAGTTAGCGCCAAGATACATTGGCCCATTTCGGGTTGTTAAGGTGCATGGTGACGCTTACACGATAGACATACATACATCTATGCGTTTGCACACGACGTTCTATGTCGGGCGCCTCAAGGCTTACCTACCGGCGGATCTCCCTTCGAATCTCCCCCGCTCTTCTGTGCCGGCTCGAAATCCGACATCCCTTGACGACGACGTTGACGACGACTGAGACCAAGTCCTGCCCGAACGCGTGCAGACTCGATCTGCTAGGGTCCTCCGAACGCAGTCGTCTCAAGTTGACGTAGGCGCTCAACCAGTACCAGCTGCTCACGTCGAGTCCGCTCAGCAGCCTCAGTCGCAGCATCCGCACGATCTTGAGCTCTCTCAGCCATCTCGCGAGCATCAAGTAGGGCATTCTTCGACTCCTCAGCTTCAGCGCGGAGTAGGCGCAGCTCATCATTCGACTGTACAGGCGCCCGATTACGAGAATCGGCGCTCATCGCCAGAGGCCTTCCGTCGTGATGCTCCTCCTCCATTAGTCGATGCATCGGGTGTGCGACGCTGGATTGTCGACCAGATTGTCGATCACGAGGATCACAAGTCTCAGGCGCCGAGTAATAACTCGGCGCCCATGAAGAAGCGTGTCGAGAAACATTACAGGGTTCGCTGGTTGGGATATTCCCCGGCGGACGATACATGGGAGCCATCGAGTACGCTGTCCCAAGATGTCCCGGACGTGGTCGAGGACTACGAGTCCCGTAGAAAGACGGTGATCGCGACCGACGCTGACGGTTCCATCCCCGATCTCGCGAGCCGTAATGCTCGCGAGCAACGAAACCGCGACGACCTCCCGAGCGACTCCGAGACCGAGACCTATTACGAGGCTCGGGAGCATATGGATGATACGATTGACGATCTCGACTACGTGAATGCCGTCATCGATCGTAAGGACGCGCTCTCACTCGCCGTAGCTCGGACACCTGGAGCTCCGAAAGGCTTCTCTCATAACTGGCAATCCATGGACGAATATGATCGGGCATGCCTCGCGCACACACCAAGTCGTCCCATTCCTGCCGGACCGGTCGCGATCTGCCCACGTTGCACGTTGGACATCCCTCACGAATGTGGACGTAACAAAGGTTATACTCGTCACAAGTCATACGACAGATGCGCCGGCGCAGGTCGCCAATAGCGTGTCTATCACGCGTTCCCTCGCGACCGTCTAACCAGGACGTGAAGGACCTTTCTTCACGTCGGCTCGCGTTCCAGCGCCTGATGAAGGCACACCAAGACCTCTGCAACGCATCGTCGGTATATGCGTTGTTCGTCGCCTTGCCTCTCACTGTACGGTATCGTGTGAAAAGGTCCTTCATGACCTCCAGTGGCTCGGGTTCGACAGCAACTTCAAGACCATACAAGCGCCACGGTTTCAAGTCCCCATCCATGACCTGCGGCGCCTGCTCTCTACGGATTGTTGCTTGGTGTTCCCAGTTCTGGATGTCAGAGACATTGTTTCGTGGGCGCCTAGGGTCCATGCTGCTCAGTTAAGTCTAACTGAGCAGGTTCAGCGTTACGCCGTTGATCGAGAAGAAACTTTCTGCAATTCGCGCTTACGTTGAGGTAAGCGCAACTTCAAGAGGGGGGTGATTTAATGGGGCAACCTATTACATAAGAAGTTATAAGATTAATACATAATTACATAAGTAGGCATAGGGCAGTATCCGATCAGCGGATACTGCGCGTCATTTTATTATTGGTTTATTATTGGGGTGCCAGACCCAATAATTAGCCAATAATAAATTTAACTTCCATATTTGAGTGGTTCCCATGAGCTAGAGAACATATTCGCACTTACTGCGAATTAAAACTAAAACAAAAATAAAACAGAGTTATATTTACGAGTTAATTAAGGGGGGTTCCTCAACGCCCTTTAAGTGTAAGACGGTAACGGGTCCTTAGCCCGTTACACTAAAGAGCTGTGCAGCTTCGCTACAACCACCAGCTAGACGGTCTAACTGCCTTCTTTCAGTGCTCGAAGGTGTGTACCCGTCTACATTAGAGCATGGTCATTCTGAAAGGAAGTCTTTCTCTTGTTTTTCGGGTACTTATGATATGTTCCAGCTTTTCCCATGGGTTGTTGTGGGTATCAGGGCTTTGGGTTTGGTTTCGCTGTTAGTCGCGAAGGATGGGACGGGAGCTAATTTTGGGTCCTCGTTTTTTTTCCATTAACCTTTTTTCTTACACATTGTTCACGGATCACACACTCACTCATTTACTCTTAACGATCTATCAACCACAATCTTCCTTTGTATCTAAGCCATTTTTTAAATCTGGTCATTTACGCTTGCCTGCAATATTATTTACGGTGTCAATCCGTAAACAACTTAAATTTCTGTAATTAAGAAAGAGGCTTGCCAATTGGTGATCCCATTGTACCCACCTTCTTCGTGCAACATTCTTACCACATTATGCCATCCTTTGTCAAATTATCAATATGATTGCGTGCATCGCTGTCATCGGCGCGGCGGTGAGTGTCCTTCGTCCTTGGCTACGCCTTGCGCAACTTCACATCTCTCAAAATACTGTTATAAATGCACCTATGTAGAACAACCCCCTGTACATCCGTACATTCGGCCAGGAGGGTGAAGACTTGGGCTTCCACTACATCGCGCACGTGTCGCTGGACGTCATCGAGGAGAAGCTGCAAAGCGCAGGCATCACCAACTTCAAGGACGACATGTACCTGGGCTTCCTGGGGCCCATCGAAGACTACAAAGTGTACGGCTACGTGACCAACACGTCGGCCAAGTTCGTTGTGGTACTGCAAGATACGCCTGTGCGCGATTCGGAGCTCAGACCGGTGAGACCAGCATCACAATTACGCTACAAAGTTGCGGTGTAGGGTGACTTATTCATACTGTTGCGGCTCTGTTGTTTGCTGCAGTTTTTCGTCGAGGTGCACCGCTTGTACGTAAACACCATGTCGAACCCTTTTGCGCCATTGGGAGAGCGTCTCACGTCGCAGACGTTTGACAGGCGCGTATCCAACCTCGTCGTACAGCACAACACAAGCAGCTAAGGCAATTTAAATTCTCCCTTTCGTCTGTGTAGCACATGCATTTATATGCAGCCGGCGGTCTTCTTCTACATCCTCAAAGCTTCAACTGACAGGTCACCGATCCCGCTGTCGTCTTTCTCATCGTCGTCCTCATTGGAATCAGAATCAGAAGCGTTGTCTTGGTCCTCTTCATCGATTTCTGGCATGGGGAAACGCAAAATAGCAGCAATACCACTCACTTGGCCTAGCCTCTCACCCGACACGTGCAAACTACTGAATAGCCGCACTGTGCCGCCGTTATCCCGTACGTTTTCCACAAGATCGACGTATTTGCGCCGCGTTGCAATGTCCTGCGACCGGAAAAGAGAGTCTGTAATCAAAAGCGTCTCGATGGCCATGTTCGCATTGGCACGCATAATGTGCTTGTATCCGTAGTAGGCGCGGTCTTGGTCGGTGTGCATCATGTTGAAAAAGCGGTCCAGGCATTTTACGTCTTCCACAGCTTTTGTATTCGCCACCTGCGACTGAATGGCGGGGTTACTGAGAACCTCGTCAAGTGCGTGCTTGTGGCCAGACGAGGAATGGCACAATACAAACTTAAACTTGTTTTCGAGGATGAGCTTATCGTCCTGACGGACAGCCTGCTCCATCATGAACTTGAAAAAGTCGTCTTTGACGAAACCCGGACTAGCAAGCAGCACGCACTTTACGAGCTTGAAGTCAATGTGCTGTCGAATGGAACGCACAATATTCTCGTAAAACTTCATAGTACCCTTAGCGTGAGCCGAATTGCCCGGACGTTTTTTGGGTACACTTGTCTCGACCTTAGCGCGAATGACAGCCATATCACCTTTTATCAAGCACAAATGAGCAAGACCGACCTGCATGACCACAGCTGCAAGCTCAGCTTGCTTGGCAATATTGCATGCCATGTCGATACGTTCTAGTGACATGACATCCCAGCAGTTTTTCGTCAGCGTAAAGTCGCGATTCATCTCGAGATCCAACGTGTGATAAGCTCCCAACTACACGAATAAAAAATCCGTCAACTTCCGGTTCACATACTTATAATGTAATTGTCAATTATGTACCCGAACGTATTGACTCTCCATGATATTCTTGCCCGTGATACGTAGTACACATAGTACCGGATCAAAGTTCAATTGCTCTACCTGCACATTGTTGAGATTCTTAGCATCCAAACGTTTAAGAAAGCAACTGACAACAACGCAGCATCGTACTTCAATTTTTAGCGTCATGCGCACACGTTGGCTACTGGTAGAGCCTGTCACACCTTCCTTTACCACCTGCACACGCCCATAACGAGTCAATTATTCATTAAGTACGATTTGCGAACACAAGTGATATCGTTGTGTAACGTGCTTTACGGATCGTCGTAGTCTTGACCAAGTCCATCACGTGGATCAAGTTGTAGATATGCCACATATCCTCTGGCTCCTCGGCACGCAAAACGACCAATCCGGCGCCATCCTTCTCGTTGATCTGCTTCTTAAGCAGCTTCATTGTGGACTGATGTCAAAGAAGTAGAGGTTGACTGAAGGTCGCTTGATTTTATTGCTACATTTTCAATCTCTGTAAATACATTCCTATAACGGTCGAGGTAGCTGCGACTTTGACTCGCAAGTCGGTGGGCTTGAGGCGGCCAGTCAGTGTTAATAGACATGGCACCGACATTTGAGATTTCAGGGCTAGCTGCTGGACTGAAACACGGTCCACACTATAGGTTTCCAGCTGTGGCAGTGATTCGGCCATCGAATCGATCGCTGCTGAGATGAGGAAATTTCTGCACAATTTTACTGCATTTGCAGCACCAAGATTTTTTCATAACGCAAACATCTGTCGCGCTGTGTCAGAAGGTGTTAGCAGGTGGTCACTTACGTCTACGTCGTATGTATACACTCGTATGTATACACTGACACATGGTCACTTATCCGTCTCCAAAAGAATTTTTGCACTTGTACTTCATTATTGTAACGGCTAGAAAATCTCATAATTTGACCTGATAGTGGAGGAGCATAGCCAATGGAACTCGACGCAATCGAGATCTTTTCGTGGTCGTGGCCAAATGGTTTGCGGCGTCGTCATTATTCTGCTACTTTCGTAGAGACAATCGACTTTGATATTCTTGACAGGTGGCTAGATACATCTTATCAGAAGAGTGATCGCCTCCTTCTCTCGCTATCCTTATCGGACTGATCCGTTGTAAATCGTTTTCGTGTTAACAACTCATCGTCGGGTTGTTGTGTCAATGCTACGGCAAGCATGGCTTGAATCAAAACAAAAAGAATATTCCGTACAAGCTGAACAATGCAGAGGCTGTCCATGATTTTTATCCACAGACAGGATTGTAATCCAGGCAAAAACACGGTGTGATGGAAATGCGGCACACGACACCATGAACGTGCCTGTCTTACGTAGCACAAGAAAGAGGAAGCCCTTACGAAGTCGGGGCGGACTTGAGCGTATACAGGAGGCGCACGGTTGGCGCATTGCCTTCTATGAGTCGCTGCGCTGTTTAGCAAAAAAAGCAGCGAAGAGGTGCTTCTAGAACATTATAGTACGAATACCGTTCAAGCGTGTTATCGACGCAGTATCGCGACACGTTTGTTTGCACTCTTCAGTAGGGCGACGGAATTGGATGTATGATTGTGGAACTAGTGGAGCTTGCTGTCAGAGTCGTTAACTGGCACTACATTTCATAGTATGACTCGATTGTAGGCGTCGCAGCTTGTTGTTAGGAGCCGTGCATCGATGACGTGGCAAAAAGTCATTGGAGAGAGCCGGCCTGTAATATCTGGCAGATAGTCGCGTTCCCACCTTTGTCAGGATCGGAGTTTGAGAAATGCGATGGGAGTAGATACACAGAATCTACTTCGAGTGCCTTTTACTGCTCGGCTTGACGTCGAGGCAGTGGACACCGATGCATGTCATGAGGTGGCTTGTGACTTTTTTCAGACTGCCCTTAACTTAAACAAACGACAAAGCGATTGAGTATATTAGACTAAAAGCTTGACAAAGACGTGCAAACCTCGAAATGCTTTTTGATGTTGGCCAGTGCGCTTTTTGTTATTTGGATATTCCTAAACAATAGGAAGTGCACCTGCGACGAAGGTGAAGGCTTCACACGCTGGCACAATTTGCAAGTGCGGACCCAATTTAGCTAGGAGAGCGCAAGTATGCCAATTACACAAAATTAGGGTCGTTTGTAAGAAGTTGGTAGTAGTGTTGGCACTTGTTGCAGAAGATGTAGAAGTAAAAGTGATATATATTAAGCACCTACACATGCATGCGAAACCGACTGCAACTATACCATCTATAGTTCACGTCTATCCCGCTCCGTCCCATCTGTTACGACATCGACAAGACGATGTGGTAATCTCGTCGCCTCGTCACATATGTCGCAACATCCTGATGGTCCGACGTGGCGATATCGTCGCCTCGTCCCATCTGTCAGCACGTCAAGTCTGTTTAGTCAATCAGGTACGGTTGTTACTTACCGCGTGACAGGGTATTGCCCTTGACCTTCACGACCTGTCAACGACAATAGCTTTTGACACTCCTCTTCAACCGTATCCGGAGGGTTCTTCAACTTGAACATCGCACGTAGGTCCTTCATCCTTGGTGCTGCCAGCGCTTTAGTCAGGAGATCAGCAATCATCTCTTCTGACTTGATGAAGTGTGGCTCAACCTCGTTTGCTTGAGCGTAGTGGCAGATGAACTTGAATCGAATGTCCACATGCTTTGCACTTGATGAGCTCTTCTCGGTCTTCAACAAGTTGATTGCGGCTTGATTATCCATCCACATCGGCATCGGCTTGACGATCTTCATGTTCAATTCGCCAAACAGTTCCTTCAAACCCAACAGCTCGCGACCAGCGTGGGATGCCGCGATGAACTCAGCTTCCATGGTGCTCAGCGAAACACCCGTCTGCTTCTTGCACGCCCATGACACGACATCACCATCCATCGTGAGAACGAATCCCGTGACTGACTTGCGGTCCGACTTGTCCGCGGCAAAGTCTGCATCACTCCAGCTTTCAATCTTGATTATGTCGTCCATACCGCGTGAGCTGTTGATGCACAACTTTAAACTCTTAGTTTCCTTCAGGCATCTTGCGACTCGTTTCGCCGTTCTCCAATCCTTGGTTGTCGGCTTGTGAGTCTGTCGAGTCGCTCGGTGTACCGCGAAACAAATGTCTGGTCGGGTGCAACGCGCGATCCAGAGTAAACTTCCGACAATTGATTGGAAGGCCTTGACACTTGCATCTCCAGCTTTGTCGGTCGACTTCAGGGACTCCGAGTTCGTCTCATCGACGTCATTGCATTCGTCTTTGTAGATCGAACCCCGTTAGCTGTAGCTAGTCCATGTTCCTTTAGCAGTGAGTCGATGGTTACTTCTTGATCTATCACGTAGCCTTCCTTTTCGTCCAGCTTGACCCTAAGTCCGAGAAACTTGTTCATCATACCGAGGTCCTTGATCTCGAGAGACGTCATGCCTTTAAAAAATTGGTCCGACGAGATCATTCGATGTTCCAGTCACCAGCAAATCGTCGACGTAAACTCCGACGACCGTTACATCTGTGCCGGTTCGTTTGACGTATAGACACATGTCCTTCGTGCATTGTCTGAAGTTCAACTCAGTCAACTTGGAGTGCAGTAGCTTGCTCCATAATCTTCCAGCTTGTTTCAATCCGTACAAGGATTTCTTGAGCAACAGCGCAAGTTGCTTTGTCCCGTCCACTCCATGATGGGCCAAGGTGTCATCATCGACTTGCATACCGCTTGGTATTTTCATGTAGATGTCGGGTCCTTTCCTTGATCGGCCTTGACGTATGCGTTCGGCACATCGCCGTGCCGAGCCGGTACGTTCCATCTACGTGAGAGGACCAGAATCACCTTGACTGTTCCAAGTTCCATAACCGCCGCAAAAGTCAAGGTGTAGTAGACCCCAAACAACTGCTCGTTTCCGCATGCAACAAGTCTGGCCTTGTATCGTTCGACTTTCCCATCGGCGTCGGCCTTTGTCTTGAAGACCCATTTGTTGTGTAGTATGTGGGCGTTGTCAGGTGGAACAACAACCGTCCACACACCGTTTTCCTCCAATGCATGCAGCTCTTCCTTGATGGCTACAGCCCATTTATCCTTGCTGTCGCTCCGTGCGGCCTCGCCATAGTTCCTTGGGTCTCGAACAACGTTGGCCATGTCGACATTCTTGTGTATGTCTATGACATCACTTGACGTGTCTCCGTCAGTTTGACGTGACCGTGTCATGTTTGGATCACGAGTCCATCCCGATGATCTTACCCTTGATTTTCTCGTGCCACCTTGGTCACCGAGCTCCTCCTGACCTTCGGTACCATGTAACGTTTTGGTTACGTTTGCCTCTTGTATGTTACCCAGCATCTCAACATTTTTCACATGTTGACTCACCACCACGACACGTTCCATCGGTATGAAAACCCGATATCCTTTCATTTCATCACTCTTGCCGATGATGATACCTTGTTTTCCCCGAAGACCCAACGACTTGTTTGAAGTCGTTCGGTGCACGGTGCATGGAGATCCGAAAACCACAATGTCGCTTAAGACGGGTGTTTTCTTGGTTAACATCTCAATAGGTGAGATGCCACCTTCGTTTGCCTTGGTAGGGCTTCGATTTAGGATGTATGCTGCATATTCTGCAGCGTCATCCCTAAACGTCAAGGGTAACCCACTTGCAAACACCATGCTTCGCACCATGTTCATGATGGTGCGATGCATGCGTTCAGCTTTGCCATTGCTGGCCTGATTGTCACGCTCGCTCACCTGACGAGTGACACCGACTTCCTTGCAAAAAACATCCAGAGGCTTGTACTCACCTCCACCATCTGTACGTAAAACGTGTATACGGCAATTAAATTGACGCTCAAAAGCCACCAAGAAATTCCTAAAATGCATCGCAGCGGCATCTTTGGTCTTCGCTAGGAACACCCGGCAGTAGTTTGACCTGTGGTCAATAAAATTGACCAGGTATCGATTGCCGAGTCGATCACGGGGGGTCATAGGACCTTTTAGGTCTAAACATACCACGCCTCCAATCACGTCAATGGGCGAATTCAGCCCACTGTCCTTCCGCGATTGTCGGTTTTTTGTCTGCTTGCCTTGTGCACAGGCTAGGCGCTTGACACGCGTGGTATCAGTCAATTGGATACCAGAGGCGGAATCCCGAGCCATCTTGATGATGGTGTCATAGGACAGGTGACCTAGACACCGATGAAAATAGAACAGGGATCCGTGTTGCGTGTCGTTCTTTGCATGGTTTGTAATGTCTTCAACAACCGTCATGATCGCTTCTCTTGGTGACCCAAATCCACGAAAATCATCGGTCGTAATTCCATTGAAAACTTCAACGACCAGTACATTGTTGACAACGACCAGTACATTGTTGATGCGATCAACATCCATTATAGGTATCCCACCAGAATGTGATACCATGACACGCCCCCCTTCTCGGTATTCAAGAACGCATCTCTTCAACTCGAGTTTCCCAAACGAGATGATGTTGCACTCCAAATTGGATGCGTATTGAACATCGAGAAGACGAATGGTCTTAGTCAATCCAAGTGCTTTGACCTGGATCAGGACGCTTCCTTGTTTGGTGATCCGAAGTGGTTCAATATCCGATGATGCAGTAAAACATTCGGTGTTACAATCCACCGCATTTTCCAGCAAGTTCAAATCGTTAGCCAGATGACGACCTGAGCCGCTGTCCAGCACCCAGTGATTTGATGAGATCGTCCGATGTCCTGGAATTGCCAAGACAAATTCCGCATCTTGTTTCTTCTTGATACCTTTTGGGCAGTTCATCTTAAGGTGCCCGGTGCTCCCACACAGGTAACACTGCTTGGGTCGTTGCGGGCCATGTTGTTTCTTGTTCCGTTCGTTTCGCTTGGGTTGGTTGTTCGGTTCGACGATGTTAACGACATCTCGACCGAAATGCTTCACGCGAACTTCCAGTTCCGTTGACTGAGCAAATTGGGAGAGCTCTTCAGCTTGGCGAAGGTAATCGATCCTGTTTAAATTCAGGCGAGACAACATGGTTGACCGCATAGACGGGTCGGCATAGTGCACGATGTTGTCCAGGACGAGTTTGTCCGCACCTCCGCACGCATCGCTTACAGCTGTCAGGTATAGAAAATGCTCCGTCCAGCTACGCTGAGATGACTTGGCTGCAGTAAACAGCTTCATGCTTTGGGCAGGTGTTATCTTGGTGTTGAAGGTCTGGAGTAACCTTTGCATTGCATGCTCCAAGGTCGGACTCTCAGACCACCAAGTTTCCACCTGCCACCGATAGTACTTCTGCGCCGTACCAGCCAGGTGTTGGCCGAGGACATCAACCTTAATGTCCTCAGGCCATGCGAGCCCACAGGCGCGTTCCGAAAAAGCAACCTGCCGAACAAATTCTTTCCCCCATTCAATGAAGCCACTACCAAGTCCGAGGTAGAGCTCCTTTCCGTCAAAAGGCTGCAAAGCCAGCTTCCTTTGACGGCCATCCGGTACACCCTGGTGTACTTGCCCAGGTTGGTGTAACACCGGACCTGGCATCTGCATACCCGGGTATGCTCTCGCGGGCATGGCATGACCATGAATTCCAGGCTCAAGTCCTTGATCCATTCCGTGGTTGACATTGGCCTGGGCCGGCGCGTCGACATGTGATCCCCGGCTAAAGCAGGTCGTCGGGCACCAAAATAAGTGGCCGGCGAGACGTTCGGTGATCGTTTAGGTGGCGGGGTACGCTCGAAAGCCTGGAGTGTTATACCGGCCCCTGAACCGAGAACCGAACCAAAGACGCTTGACTCCGCAGGTTCCTTGCGTTGGCCACCGACTTGTCCGTGTTGGGAGGATTCCATCCTACCCATCCGCTCCGACAAATCGCCAAGCATGGCGAGCATCTTGTCCAGTGCCGCCGCGGGCACTGCCGACTTTTCTTCTAATTGGTGGCCTCGGTCGATCCTTGACCATTGACCACCACAGCGGGTGTGGCTCCTTGAGCTGCGCCGTCGTCACGTTTCTTTGGGCTCATAACCTGTAATAAGTTGGTAGTAGTGTTGGCACTTGTTGCAGAAGATGTAGAAGTAAAAGTGATATATATTAAGCATTAACTTTCCTCGTTCGTTAATACCTACACATGCAAGCGAAACCGACTGCAACTATACCATCTATAGTTCACGTCTATCCCGCTCCGTCCCATCTGTTACGACATCGACAAGACGATGTGGTAATCTCGTCGCCTCGTCACATATGTCGCAACATCCTGATGGTCCGACGTGGCGATATCGTCGCCTCGTCCCATCTGTCAGCACGTCAAGTCTGTTTAGTCAATCAGGTACGGTTGTTACTTACCGCGTGACAGGGTATTGCCCTTGACCTTCACGACCTGTCAACAACAATAGCTTCTAACATCGTTAACAAACGCTGACACGATCTCATCCAGTAGTGACAAAAAACTCGGGATTGACACTTGTTGCATTCAGCGCGACGCACGATAAATATTTATCGTCGTCATTTTCATCGTCATCAGCACGCTAATAGCTGAGCGCTGTACAAGGATCATCGTTTGAACGCCGTGACAATGCGTCCGCAACAATCTTGTTCTTGCCCGGCTTTTAATGAATGACGAAGTTGTACTCGGAATTGTAAGAGAGCCATCGCGCCATTTGTTGTGACAAATGGGGGCTTTTCATCGCTATACGCAGTGATGCGTGATCAGTACACAACGTGACCGACCCCGCGGTGTACTGGGAACCACTCACTTCGGGTCGGGAGGTCACGGGTTCGATACCCACGGCCGACAAATCCTCAAGTATAATGGAGGTGGGCTTGAACTGTGCATCCGTGTACTAGGTGCGTCGCCGTTAAAATACGTACCAATCCAATTGGAAGGGCAAGCCTGGTGAAAAATCATCAGTACACAACGCAAACCAAAAAATTCTTGCTCTGTATTTGCTCCCGATAAATCGGACTTCAGATCAGTTGATTATTTTTTTATAACTGGCAGAACAACACAAAAGCGACCATCCTTGAAGCAAGACGATTGTTGCAAGGGTTCTATCATACTTGTGATAACGTACATATCTCCGGCAATGTATACTTCATTATAATGACAGCTTTTTACCTTCCTCAAGAATCATACTACTCTTTCACTCTCGACACGCTGGCTATAGCTCGTCAGTCGCCGCGCCAATGATTAAGATGTGACCAATGAAGGACATGTCATCGTTGCTAAGGGAGGATCTCGGGTATTTATGGAACAAGATATGTTTACTTCCGACACTAGTCGAGCTCTGTGATGATCAATTATAGAAGTTTGAGTGATGCATTCGTCACGTAGTTCGTTATCAAATAGCAGAGTATCCTTCGCTGCACACCATCTGTGAGACATCAAGTAGCACAATCTCTACTACTACTAAAATGATGCATACCTTTCTTGAGCAGAACCAAAACGTCGTCCCCGATCATGTTGCTTTTGCGGTGCTTTGGTCAGGGTCATAGTATATGAAGATATGATGCCAGATGGTATACTCTGCGGCGAACCCCGTTCGTGTTAAACACCTTTTCTTTCAATAGACGCACTGACAAGATACATAGTTGGACTTGCTCCAAACTATCAAGTAGCACGTCTTCGTCTCTGCAATGCGTCATATAAGAAGAAGAAAGAGGTTGGCGATAAGAAATATATCTTGCTATATTCGAGACGCCGCAATACTAAACGAACAGACGGAAGTGTCAGCTCAACAGACATACATTATCAGTAAACTTGCCGCTTCCAACAGCTTAATGGTCTTGGTCGTGTCTTCAGATATAAAGTATCATTGGAAGGCCAAACTCGTCCACAGATGTGACAACACTCACCAACATAATATGTCAGACTCAGCGTAACTTTGCTGCTGTGGACTTCGACACTGCTGTTCAAACAAACTTCTCTGCGAAGGTACTAATGAGTGATCCTGTTGGTCACCCAAGTACCTGTTTCGAAGCTGCAGCTTTGCTTTTCAGCGTGCGCAAAAATTCACGTCTTGACAGCTCGTCGTCGTAATGTATTGACCTCTCGTTTACGTGCTGGCCTCCGTCTAGAGCCATCCCTCTGGTACAAGATACTTCACCGCCCATGTCACTACTATCACCACGATTAAACTCAGCCGACTGCTTGCGCAAGAAATCATCCATTTCATGAGCCTGCAGAAACTCACGAATCTCAGCAATCTGCTGTCGTTCGCAAAAAAAATTTGTATCTACATATACTGCTCGTTCTGGCCTGCTCGTACTCTGGAATATACGCTGAAACTTCTTGGAGAAGTGAGGCAATGGAAGTGGTAATGACGACTCGACACTAATGTCACTTGTGCCAGCAGCAACAACCGGATTTGTCACCGTAATCAACGGAATCAGTGCAGTCTTGTGTGGAAAGTAATTGCAATGCTCTGGAACGTCGACTTGTACTTTCGAGACAAAGAGTTGACATCCAGGGCGTTGCAAATCTAGCTCTCGCGCAAGATACCCCGAGATCTTTGCCCCAGTCGCACAGTGTTTTAACACAACATCTAAAAACTCGTGCCATCGTGAGCTATCACAAACAACGAACACACCCTTAGCATACCGAGTTTCAAATTGTTTCCTAATCTGATTGCCAACGCACCGTCGACTAAATCCTTTTCCGCTTGCAAATAAGTTTTCTGCTTCCAGTTCTGGTAGCGGATAGTCGTCAAAGAAAACACAGTCGAACTGGTCTAATGTAGGCAGCACATTCTGCCATGTTCCCGACATAATTTGCACGCCTTTGTACCTCCCTGCAAACTTCTGAGCACGTTGCAACGTCTCCTGATCGCATTCAATAATGGTATGGCTTTGTGGCCGGAATGACTGGATGCGAGAGGACGAATAGGCCAGTCCGAAGCCGATTTCTAACACCCGGTCTGTCAGTTGAATGCCAAGTGCATCAACGCAAAGCTCCATGTATTGTTTTTCCCATTGCATCATAACTTGCTGTCCTCGGGAGCTCAATAGGATCTCTTGTCCGACCTCATCCAGCCTCTTGTGGTTACCCTGCGTTGTCATTGCAAATACTTTTGTGATTATCCTGATACAAATCTCATTAATGTATGCACTTTTTTGTCCTACTGATGGTTTTCCACTTGTATGTATTTCCCCTCTGTGTTTGCTTCCATTCACTGTCGATTCCCGAAATACTTCCGAGTACAGTATGTTTATATCAACTTGTCGTTGAAACTAGTTTTGTCGGTTGTCGTGTATATTGTGATTAAAATTTCCATGTATGCACTTCACGATGGCTTCGTTCAAATACGTCGTATTGCCAACGGATCAGTGCCTATAAGGATACTTGTTCTTTTTCTTAAGGCCAGAAAGTTGTGAATTAGTTTGCTGGTCGCGCTTTAAACTTCGAAGGACCACACCATATCATTTCTCTAACTTCTCTAACTTCACTTCTTTATTCACTGTAGGCTCTATCATCATTTTACTTTTACATGATTCTAAACTTAACATTAAACTAACTACACAACTCAGCTCACATTAAGCTTTACATTGAGCTGTAGATTGCCCCCTTGTGTGGATCGAGGCACCCACAGCAACAACGAGCCACCTCTTGATTTTGGAAGACCAAGGAAACCGGGGCGCCATCGCTTTAGATAAAGCGTCTTGCCACCCAAAGCTGTAGTGTTTGATCTCCATGTGAAGTTCTTACCCGACGCAACAGCCACTTCATCGAACTTGTTACCGCCAGATATGATGTCAACGGTCACGTCCTCCGTGTCAAGACTACTGAACGTAATAACGACGGAACCGTCACCTTTTCTAGTCCAGTTACCAGCGCTGTGACGAAAAGCAGAACCGACATTCTCGAAGCCTAGCGCTTCCCTAGCAGAGCCATCGTCAATTTCACCGACAAACTCAGTGGGACCGCAAATTGTCTGGAAAAACTCGGACATCACATTACCTATATTTTTCTTTTCCCAAACAGCGTAAAACGTCGCTGCCTTGTCAGCAATCCGGTACGCGTACTGTCCAGCAGTCAGAAGAGTGCCGTTGTTACTTGTTCCTGATTCAATCAAGTCGTCCATAATACTCCCCAATCCTTTACGCAGCTTATCTCGAGTAGTATAAGCTAAAGATTCATCCGATTCGGCAATCAGTTCCGCCATGCAATTATTGGTCACGGTGGGAATTTCGTATAACGCAAGATTTGACTTGCTCATCGCAACACGGATGTCATTCTCCGATATGGTCGGGTTCTGTCGACGCATTTCTGCCACCGTCATCCACATTCGGTCGAGCAATCGCTTTGTGTCGTATCCACAGGTCGAGTTGGATTCCAGTGCCGTTTTTAAGGACGTAATGTCCGACTCGTTCAACGACCGGATCGTGTCCCCAAGAGAAATCCTCCCCATAAAACTCGTGAATGCAGTCCAATCGGAAACAATAGCGATGCCGTTGTTGATGACTTCTTTCAGTACTAACTCAGCAGTGTTCACTACTCTGTCCGCAAACTTGAATCGATCGTCCACTTTTATTCCCAGGCATGTAGCAATGGCCACTGGAATATCGAAGACCACTTTATCGGTTTGGTAAAGCATTGTCAATATCTTCTCACGGGTCGTGTCTGGGTCAGATACTTTGGGAGAAGTTTTGGAAAAAGATTGACCAATCCCATTTTTTCTTTGCTGATTAAATGCAATTTCGAGGCCCATTGCCGCCAACTTAAACTTCCCGTACACATTGTCGGTAGCTATGGAAAGGGCTGCTTGGGCCACAGTAGACACCTTTGTTACAACTTCTAGCGCACAGTTGTCGTTTTGCCGAATGCATTCCATTCCGCACTCGACCGGGTATGAAAATGGGCACTGTGCCCAGCATGTTCCAAGGCTAGCATCGAAACCTAGAGGACACGTCTTGGTAATATGAGTTTTACGATAGCACGCAGTGTCAGTGGCATGGCCGACCGCTGGACCTATCCAGTTTCTGTAGGCAGGCACGATCGTACTGATAGCAGTGAGTGCGTTGCCAAAGGAAGGCCAAGCCTTCTCTAGCGAGATATCACTGTGGTCACTACAATATGGAGAGGCCAAGGTTGAAATTCTTGCATGGCTATTCACCGTGAAATTGGCTGCCGTTGCATCTGTAGTCGGGATTGATACTCTATTTCCGTTGAATATGCTGGACTGTGCCGAGTTAATAGCATAAATTGTGGCGAATACGAAAGTCAAAAGTGTGTTCATTCCAAGTAGCGCTCCAAACGAAGAATGGTGTGCCTTCTAGTGCCTAAACGCAAAGCTTCCTGCGACATGGTGTATTTGTGTGCTGTTTCTGTAAAGTGTCGAGCGTGACTAATGGTGTTGGGCATGGTCTTTACCTTCAGCATGTCGGCATTGAAATAAATCATCAGCAAGTTTTTGTTTCCCCAAAACTTGTGTGGTCTAACCCGTTTTGTGGGACTCAACTGCATCAGACAATACTTGAATAGTCTATTCTTGATTTCATGCGTTGACTAAACAAAAGTCGAGCGGTGGCCCCACGGACTGTGCAAAAGCAAAGCTTTTGGTTTAGCAAAGTGGTTGGCATCGATTATGATTCATTGTGCGAATAATGCGTATATTTACGCCGATTGTCAATGGAAGAGAAGGACAATGCGGCTATTTGGGGAGCCTTAATTCGCCCAGAGATCGCAAACGGGGACCTGGAAGGAAATGTTGGAACAGTGAAGCGCGAAGGACATCGACTCTCTAGGCAGTGTTCAAACGATCCGAAGCAGTACTGAGCAATGGCGAAGTAGAACCTGTCAAGCTGATATATCTCTTCTTTACCACCGTGCACTCCTCAACGCCCTAAGTGACAAAGTATTATTGGCTGGAAGGCTTCTTGGCGTCAGGACAGCATGTACCGGGGGTTCATTGTTACCGCCATCGGACGACCGACCCACCAACCGCTCGACAAAACTATGGCTCGAACGATTCGCTAAACAACTGCACAAAACTGGTCTGGTTCCGATCACTTAATACGTTGATAAATTGCATGCATAATGGTAATGAAGAGAAGAGGTTTCGAGCACAAATCGGTTGGGATGCGCTATGTAGGAGACAAGAAGGAACGATAGCAGCTCCAGCTACTTATAGAAATCGACGTAGATGCACGAAGATTCGTTTCACCGCCAACCAACTTTGTGTCTGATCCCTTCAGTTTACACGAATTTGAGACGGACGGTCTCACGCGCTTGACACTACGAAATTGACTGATTATGGGCTAAAAGTCCTACGTTTGCACACGAGAGAGAGCCAGACTATCTATTTACTTCAGCCACTCGCAGCAGATGTTTCATGTCGACCACGGGCGTTGTGCTGCTGTTTGGTGTCTGTAACATTTCCGTTGCTTGGTATAATAGGTCAAGAAAGTTGAAATTTGAAAGATTTAGGTGTTCTGTATAGACGTCTCGTCCAAGCTCAGTAGCTGTAGAAACCAGACATCAGGCCTCCATCGAGGAGACCTAGTAATGAAGAGACGACGTTGTTAGTGTAAGAAACTATCGATTTTGACAGGCTGGTAAGGTTTTTGACGATACAGTGCAACACCTGTTGCAGGTAAGATGCGACCTCACCGGATGGGCTAATGGTGGTGACAACTTGACAGCTGAAACGAGGCAACGAGACCGTCTCGTGGGATGGTGATGGGCGGAATAGACGGGCGCTATAGGAAACAAGACGTGGTCTAGTTATAGTGTCGTTAAAGTGCATATTGTAGTGTTGGCAGGAGAAGTTAACACCGAACATATTTTACTTTTACTTCCTATCTACTTTGCAACAAGTACAATGACTCCACCAATTTCTACAGTTGGATACACTTGGTCCCGTAATTGAGCCAAGTCATCCGTGTTGACTAGTTACCCACTCGGCGCTACTGAAACGTCGACTTGCACTTCATTCGAGACAAACGTTGACATTTAAATTGTTGCGAGCCAGCACATAAGCTAGGCATCTTCAGATCATTTTTCATTCACACAGTGGCATCACTCTTTTATCATGTGGCAGAATGCGACTCTATTGTTCGTAAGAAATAATCTCAGAAATTACATTTTCGTCGCCCTTGTAATTCGTATCCGCTTCTTTTGTATGGCAATAGGACAACCTGGAGCTCCTGGGAACTGGAGCTGATGGATGACACGGTGAAAAAAACACGTGGAACTGTGCGTTGATGCACTTATAATCGAACGCGTCCTGACACCAGCTCGTTTTGCTTGTTCGACCTCTCGCATCCCTAGAATTCTGCAATATAATATAATAGATAGTGGCTGCCTACATTGACCAATTCGACTACGCATCTTGTGTTTTTACGAGTATTGTAACGGGGTTACACGACGGTTGTAGCGTCTTTCCGGGAGTTTACGGTTAAACTCCCCTTGTATTGCATATAATGCATTATGATACTTCTCTTTAGAGAGGTATTAAGTATAAGCGTTGAGATACGGTATTCGGTAATACCGTATCTTATCGATTAGGATTCGATAATCGATAACGCTGTACTAAGTACATCATACACAGATGTTTAGACGATACGTCGTCCAATAGCAAAGTCTGCATATAATAATTACTATTATAGTAATTAATCTAGTGTAGTGTACTTAGAGTAGGACTATTCATAAAATCTTAAAGCATAAATAAAATCAGTTCTCCTTTTGAGTTTAAGATCACAAGTCGTTCTGACTTGTTCTCTTGTGCACTTCGTGCGTTGGTTCTCTGAACCTCTAAGCTTCTAGCTTGTTCTTGCACCCTGTGCGTTGGTTCTCTGAACCTTAAGCTTATTGCTTGACTGACTAAAGTCTCTCTCCTAGTTCCTTAGAACAGGGTTACTTTCAGTCGTTTAATTAGTTCCTTAGAACTAAGTGGCTTTTAGCCTTAACTCTATTTAGTTCTCTCGAACTAAGAGGCTTCCAGCCGAAAGTCTTCCTCTGGCTAAAGAGCTGTGCAGCTCCGCTACACTTGGTAGCACTTGTAGTCAATCCTACACCTGAGTCTTTAAAGACTGACCCTCTGTGAGAATGGAGAATCAAA